AGGGTTTAGGGTTTAGGGGGTCTCGTGGCAGTCGTGGTCGCGGTGGTTGTGGTCGTCCTCGTGGTCCTAGTCGTCGACGTGGTCTTTATCATTGTTTGGCGAGCAGTGCTGGCAGAAGTCTATAGGCACCTGGGGGTTTGGGTTAGTGGGATTGCGGGTTCAAAGAAGTTCTCATATCCTGAGGCCCTAATCCCCTGCACCCGACGCCAGAAACCCAATTCTTGCCATAGCCTCAACCCTAAACCCTAAACCCCAAACCGAAGCCGTGGTGCGAGGAGACCAGTCTTTGAAGCATTGGGATAGCGAGCATCTAAGGCCTCGATGACACACAGACTTGCCGGAATCTCTCAAACAAGGAATGGGGTTTAGGGTTTAGGGTTTACGGTTTAGGGCACCGTAAACCCTAAACCCTAGCCAAGGTAGGGTTTAGGGACTTGGGTTTAAGGCTTGGGGTTCAGGGATTTCGGGTGAGCCCAAGCCTACGCCCCAAACCCTTAACTCCAAATCCGAAACCGGAATCTACATCATCTAAACCCTAAATCCAGAATCCCCGCAACACTACATGGTAGTTCACAAATCCTACAGCAATGGCATTATTTCGAGAGGGCTGGCCAGGCGCACAAGGGTTTGCGTGTCAACCGGAGCATAGTTCATGGTTCTGAGGTTTAGGGAACGGTTAAGGGTTTAAAGGGTTTTGGGGTTCATGGGGTGCGAGGGTCAAGCTGTGAGGGGCTAAAGGTTCGGAGCTCAGACATTGCGCTGGATCCAGCGCCCAGTAAAACACCCAGACACGTGATTGAAGGTAACATCCTTTACGAGGGGCTCGGTTTAAATGGCTTCTTCTTATGCGCTTGTTGTGTCGAAAGACTGGGGGCGTGCAGTTGTTTGTGGGTTTCGGTGCTCGAGTTTGATTGAGCTACGCCTACAAGTCATGGAGCCCCAGCCGATACACTGCATCGGACGATGAACAACCCTTGTTTGAACATTCCTCGAACCCAGACTCAACAACAATCGACCCCAAACCATGAACCCCCCCACCCTCCAAACAAAATCTGAGACCCTAAATCCAAAGCCCTCAGCCCTAAACCCTAATCCCTAGACCCTAAACCCTAAGCCCTTGGCCCTACCCTAAACCCCAAACCCAAATCCCTAAACCCTCAGCCCTAAACCCAAAACCCTAGACCCAAATCCCTAAACCCTCAGCCCTAAACCCTAAACCCTCAACCCTCAGCCCTAAACCCCGAGCCATGAAGCCATGTTTGGCGCGGCCCTAGCCTCAAGGAGGTTCCGGGTGAGGCTGCCAGGCACCTGGAAAGGGAATTAGGTGGTTTTAGGGTTTAGGGTTTTGGGGTTTAGGGTTTAAGGTTTAGGGTTTAAGGTTTAGGGTTTTTGGGTTTAGGGTTTTGGGGTTTAGGGTTTAGGGTTTCTGAAAGCGCAACTGCAAAGAGCTGAAAGTCCTCTGGGCTGACCTGCTTGAAGCAAGGAGTGAAGGCCTCGTCGCCGGCGTGTCCGGGACCGAATCCAGAAGAAAGCATGCCCTGAAGACATGGAAGCAGCTTCTCTTCTCCAGCTTCTCTCGAACAAAGCCGCATTGTCGCGTCTTGCTGCTTCGGCGTGTCTTGCCGCTTCCACCGCTTCGTGAAGGCCTCCCACCCGCGTGGTTGGCCTGGGAAGACGGCGCTCGTCTTCCCCTGCTTTGACTCCCTGCGCATCAAAGACCGGGACCGTCGTGGTGACCATCAGCAATCCTACATCGTTGATAACGGTCCTGCCCGTCAGGAGCACTTCCAAACTAAAGCAATTCTCCAAGTTCTTGGTGTAGGGTATTCCTGGCATCACCCTTGAGACTTTAACCCACGTAGCATATTCTTGTCGAGTACTCCTCAGATCGTAGAAGTCCCAAGATTTGCGGAGCCACCGGCGACTGAAAGTCAGCCACTTAGTATTAGTGGTAATTAGTCTGAAGATGATGATGACGACTATCATGACTAGCACGATTATGATGCCTATTGCCCGTGGTTATAGAGATTGCCAGCATGCTCAGTACCACTGCGGTTGTTATTGCCAAAAGTACCCTAAACCCTAAACCCTAAACCCTAAACCGTTACTACCTACTTGTCCACCGAACACTACGGATCCCTGTACTCATGTAGACTATACATTGGCCCCAAAGTACCTATATAGGGACTACTTTAAGGCCAAAGTATATCCTGCTTGGGTACATGGACCCTTAGGGTTGGAGAAGCAAAGGCTATGCTGTGGGGTTTTTTGGGGAGCTTCACATCACATCCAGAAAACGTAAGAGTGATGGGTGACCTCCTCTACCCCTAACCCCTAGCCCCTGAACCCTAAATACACCTTAAAGCCTAAACCTTAAGCCCTTAACCCTAAAACCTGAAACCTAAATACACCTTATAAGCCCTAAACCCAAAAAACCCTCAAACTATGAACTAAAACCGCTAAGGCTATGTGCGACAGACTCCGACCAGCCTTAGAGTCGGCGAAGAGCAGCACCGATCCTGAGAAACACTTCGGAAACTGTTTAGGGTTTAGGGGTTTAGGGGTTTAGGGGTTTAGGGGTTTAGGGGTTTGGGGTTTAGGGTTTTAGGGTTTCGGAGTTTGGGGCTTAGGGTTTGCCAATTTAGGGCCTTAGGATTTTGGACTGACGCTGTAGGGAAGCTCCCAAACTTATAGTGATGAAGATCTATATAGTAACATGATAACCTTACGGTACTCGTCCTACATGTTAGTCACACCGTGAAGAAACTGTTGATTGGGTACGGAACTTCGGGTTGTGGGCTTGACGGTGAAGCACTTGAGGGCGGTTTAGGGTTTAGGGTTGAAGTCCCTAAACCCCAAACCCTAAATCGGGTTTTAGCCTACAAGTGTTTCGGGCAGTGAGGGTTCAGGAAATCACAGGTGTTGTTCCTTTTCTTGCGGCTAAGGTGCAGCAGTGCAGTGTCTTTGTACGAAGGAAACGATAATTAGGGTTTAGGGTTTAGGGTTAGCCTCACTGCAGAACGTAACCATGCTACCGTTGCACCGGAGGTTCCCCGGCACAAGCAGCCATTTATTGAGCTTGGCCGGGACTTTGTAGCCAGGCCCTGCAGATTGTGCTGCAGTCCATATCTCCTCGCCAATTACCTTCTCTTCGAATCGTTCAGGGCAGTCACCAGCGCGGTGACACTGTTCAGCGAAGCTTGCAAAGCCCGCAGGTCCTCGCATTCCCGGCGAAGCAACATTGGCACTGGAGGATGCGGCTGGGTCTCCCCACCAGAGCCGGCGTCAGCCGATTCTTGACTCTGTCAGCAACGGTCTGAAGCGCTTTGGTTTTCACCAGCTGCAGGCGATCACTGCTCTGCAAGTTCTCGAGGAGCTGCTTTCCCTCCAACAGAACTCGCTCGGAGGCCTGAACCTCTTTAGCCAC